GCTGTGACAAGTTACCACAAACTGGGTGGCTTCGAACAACAGAAATGGATTCTGCCATGGTTCTGGAGGCGAGAATCTGAAATCAGGTACTGCAGGGAAAGACCTCTCGTGCCTCTTCCTACCGTCCGGTGATGGCCGGCATCATGGGCAATCCTTAGCTTGGGGCTGCACCACTCCAATCTCTGCCTCTGTTTTCAGGAGGCTGCCTTCTCTCTCTGGATCTCAGGGTTTGTTTAAAAACTGGAAGGCTAGGCCGGGCGCGGTGGCTCACGCCTGTAATCCTAGCTCTCTGGGAGGCCGAGGCGGGCGGATTGCTCGAGGTCAGGAGTTCAAAACCAGCCTGAGCAAGAGCGAGACCCCGTTTCTACTATAAATAGAAAGAAATTAATTGGCCAACTAATATAATATACAAAAATTAGCCGGCATGGTGTGCATGCCTGTATCCCAGCTACTCGGGAGGCTGAGGCAGGAGGATTGCTTGAGCCCAGGAGTTTGAGGTTGCTGTGAGCTAGGCTGACGCCACGGCACTCACTCAGCCTGGGCAACAAAAGCGAGACTCTGTCTCAAAAAAAAAAAAAAAAAAAAAACTGGAAGGCTAAGAAATGCAAGACTCCTCTATGAGAACAAGCACCTAGAGCTCAAGGCTGCTGCCCATTTACCTGCCTTGCTCCCGTGTGCTCCAGCCCCCACCTGGCCCCATCTCTCCGTGACCCACAAGCAGCTGCCTGTTAATCCTGCTTTTCATCCTCAGCTGGGAGAATGGGACATGCTTGCCGGTAGACACTGCTCCTCCCATGTGAAGAAAATGGCACACACCGTGGCCTAGGTAAAAACTGCAAGTGTCCCTTCTGTCCTTTTATCTCTGCCATGCTCCTGGGTCACTGCCTCTGTGTCTTTTCTGTTCTTACAAGGACACTAGCCATATTGGATTAGGAATCCACCCTACCCAACTATGAGATGAAACTTCAGCATAAGTTTTATCTTAACGAATTACTTCTGCAACGGCCCTATTTCCAAGTAAGATCCCATGCTGAGGTCCTCGGAAGGGCCTGAAGTTAGTGGGGACACCCTCCAAGCCAGCGCACTCTGTTCTATTGTGTTGTGTTTGTATAACCTAACGCTGTCGTCAAGTGCCCCGCTTGTGTTCCTGTGTGTCATCTGCCTGCCCCACTCAAAGGGAAGCCCCGTGACAACAGGGCACTCCCTCACTGCGCTGTCCCAGCACTTAGCACAGTTCCCGGCACATGGAAGGTACTCGACAAACACTTGCTGCAAAGAGAAAGGGAGTGAGAAAGAAAGGAAGACGCAGACTTTCCGGTTTGCCACGTTCAAGATGGCGCATGGGAGCCAAGAACGGGCTGGGGCTTCCTCCTGATTCCCGTCGTGGCGTCGTGGGACTACTCGTTCCATTCTCTTTCCAGAACGCGAGAGTAGGCCCAGAGAAGGCACCTGGATAGTCTCTCAGAGGGGACAGAACCATTCAGTCCCCTGAGTCCTAAATCACTGCCCTCACCCTTACCCCGCCATAGTGGGGCAAAGCAGCAGCCCAGGAGCAAGGACAGAAGGGACACTTGCAGTTTTTACCTAGGCCACGGTGTGTGCCACTTTCTTCACATGGGAGGAGCAGTGTCTACCGGCAAGCATGTCCCATTCTCCCAGCTGAGGATGAAAAGCAGGATTAACAGGCAGCTGCTTGTGGGTCACGGAGAGATGGGGGCCAGGTGGGGGCCGGAGCACACGGGAGCAAGGCAGGTAAATGGGCAGCAGCCTTGAGCTCTAGGTGCTTGTTCTCATAGAGGAGTCTTGCATTTCTTAGCTTTCCGGTTTTTAAAGCAAACCCTGAGATCTAGATTTTCAAATAAATTCACCTAATTAACAAGTGTTGGCAAACAATTCAATCAAAAGGGGAAAAAAGCCACTATGGAGTCCAAGCATCCCCAACCCCCCCACACACACACAGAAGCCTGTGGTCAGAGGTGACCCCTGATTCTCATTCACAACCTCTGGGGCAATGCAGTTCCTCAGTTTGTCTTTAAGATTCTGAAATGTCCCATCAAATGTGGGTGGGAAGAAGGCAGAACTCTGTTCCATAAACTCACGCAGGTAGACTGAACCAAACAAAGGCAAAAGAACAGGCCCAAACAGCCATAGTTGGGCCTAACCAAACCAGAACCTCCGCCCCTCCCCCAGCCTAGCCCCGAGCAGGGTCATGAATTCTTGACCTCAGTTGTACTTTTGCGGGATCCTCTCCGAATATCTGAGTGAAGTGTGAGGATTTAGGGGAAGAGAAATCTGGCAGCCTGGTTGCCCTTTTCCTCCGTCAAACCAGGGACTAGCTTTCCAGCACCCCCAACCCAGCACCACCTCTCCGAACCCCCAAAGACCTGACCTTCCACTGGGAGGAACATAGTAAAGAATATCAGGCAGGATTCCAGTCTGGGCTTTGCTGAGCTCTCTGAGGCTCAGTTTCCCCATCTCTGAGATAAGAGCTAGGTCATATCCCACGTTTGTGCAAATTTTGTGCAAAATCTGTGCAAATTACAAAAAGGCACTTTTTCACCAATGCAGTCCTAGGCCAAGGCACAGAGCTTGGTGAACACGGAAGGGCTAGACTTCAGACCTTTCTAGCCCCTTGGCTAGGTGGGCCTTATTCAGTGAACATCCTGTACAGCCATACACGGCTACCCTGGACACTCTCCCTTGTAGGCTTCTAGTGAGAATTAAATGCGGTACTATTTTAAAATGCTTAACAAATTATTTGGTAAATAATAATAAATCAACACGTTATGGTTTTATCTTATTTTTTTTTTATGTGCTCTTCAACAATCCTAAACCAGTGCAGCTCTTGGGACCCTAAACATGATTTTAGGTACTGTGTAGTGTGAAGACAGAGAATTAAATTGACATAGGACTAAATTAACATTGAATAGCACAAAACACTCTGTTTTCAATTTTCTCATTTCTTCTGAGGAAGATTCAGTATTTAACACCGTGAACCCTTGCTAATCACACACACACACACACACACACACACACACACACACACCTGAACCTCTAGAAGTCCTTCCCAAGCAAGCAATATGGGTAAAGTGTATTAACACTGCTTGGTTTTAGCTGTGTTTATCTTTTACAATTTCCTTTTCTGGTGACTAACAGCTACTTTTCAATTTAGAGTAGGTAGTATCAAGTTTGCCCCCCCCAAAATACATATTTGAGTGTTAAAAATAAGTCAATTTAAGGAAAAATGTTAAGTAAATAGTAGAGGTGGTAGCAGAAAGCTCGAAGTTTGGGGAACTTGACACTGGACAATTCCAGACAAGGCCAGAATCTGACGTTGTGATTTCCCGGCAAGCTTCACGTGGGTTCCCTCCAAGCTCAACTCGTGTCTGTGCCCCCAGAGTTCCCAGCTTTCATAAACCTTCAACTTGACGGAGAAGCCCTGGGGATCTTGCCTCTGGAGCTCCGCAGACCTCCTGGGGAGGGGCCTCCCCTCTTGAATGACTAAAGTTGGCTCTGTCCCCGCTGAGCGCGGGCAGGCGTGGGCTCGGGGCCGCCCACGGGCCTGAGCGCCACCCTCCCTGGCCCAGCGATGCCAACGCGCCTCCAGGACTAGCAAGAGCGAGCAGAGCAGGGTCCCCAACGCGGCTGTGTTTGATCCCGCGACGTGTCGCTCGGAAGCGCAATTTATTGCCATCAGCCGACGCGGTCGGGCACTGATTTTCTGGTGGCGCTCCATCACAGGCCTCTGAACACCAGGGAAGGGGCTCGGAGGGACGGTGGCAGCCAGGCGGGGGTTCCCCTAACGAGGCTTTAACGAGGGGAGCGCGGCCGCCTCTGTGGAGCCGCGGGAGGAGGCGGCCGGGCGGCGCTCAGCGAAGCCACTTCCTCCCCGAGCCCCGAGGGCCCGCGTTGCGCGGAGGGTCAGCCGTGGCCGCCAGGCCCGGGTGGCCACCGCCGGGCTCTCTCGGGTCCGCTCCATCCTCGCGCACGCGGAACTGCTAGCTGCAGGAAACGCGGCATTTCCAAGCAACGATGCAAACGCGCTCATTACCATCTCCTCCATATGCAGGGCGAAGTCGCGACGCCGGCGGAGCCCTGTCACCCGCTCCCGCCTCGCATCCGATGCGGCGACACAGTCGTCTCCCAGGACGGACGAGGAGGGGCGCCGGGGAGCCAGGTCCACGCGGGAGGGGACAGACCCTGCAGAGGGAGGGAAGAGAATCCACAGGAAGAGACAGAGGCAGAAAGAGAAATGGAAGAGGGAAACAGGAAAGGGTTAGGAGGGAGGAAAGAAAGAAGGAAAAAAAGATAAATGAGGGTGGGGGAGAGGGACGCGGTCCCAGGCTCAGGGAGAAGGAAAAGACGATGTGAAAAGGGGAGAGAGGGAGGGAGGAGAATGAAGAAAAGTGAACTGAAAAAACGGTTCGGAGCAAATGTGTGAAAAGAACAAATGAGCGAGCGGAGGGAAGGAGGAAAATGAGTAGCCTAGAAATGGGATATACAGGAAGGACAGAAGGACGCATAGAGAAAAACAAAGAAAGTGAGCAGGAGGAGGGAGGGACTGCTCAAGTCAGGTGGAGAAAAGATGACCCCAGAGAGGTAAAGAAAAATAAAATCATTCGCGCTGAGGACCAGGTTTTTGCAGCCAGGCCATTCCGGGCGCTGCGCGTCGCGGCCGCCCGAGACCCGGGGACCGGCCGGCCGGGCAGGCGCGGGGCGGAGCGGGCCGGGAAGGGCGCTCGGCGGCCTCACGCCCCATGGGCGGCCTGGGCTGCCCGCGGTGCCCAGACCTGGCCGGGGCCCCCTGCGCGCCACTGCTGCGGCCACCCTGGCGGCGGCCTCTCCCGCGCCGACAGCGAAGTTGGCAAAGTTTGCCCCAAAGTTTCCCCATCGCGTCTCCGGGCCCTCGGAGGGCCTGCGAGGCGCCGGCGGCTGGCGGGGAGCGGGCGCGCGTCCCCGGGCGGCTCGGGAGGCCCGGCCGCGCCTCCTGGGATGCTCCGGACGCCGGCGTCCCGGCCACACGCGGGTCCCTCCGGGCGCGGACGCCAGGCCACGCACTCGGGAGTCCGTGCGGCTGCTAATAGCGGCGAGAGAGGCCGCGAAAGAGAGAGAGAGAGAGAGAGAGAAGGAAAAAAAATATTCTCAGCTCAATTTAAGTCTCATGGAAAGGGCTTACAACTGTAATTAAATCATTAAATTCTTGTCTACGCTTCACAGAGCGGAGAGAAATTAACTTCCCACCAACCTCATTTTCTATTTGAACATGAAATAATGATTTTCTGCCCGTCTAATTACAAAGCCAACATCTGATCAAGCCAGCATCCAGAGGGGATTATCGCATGCACGAGTATTAGACCTCATTACCAGCTTGAGTGCAAAATTATTACATCTTGTAATTGGATGGTGAGATTTATATACAGATCGGCCCGGTTTCTGTAAGATTGTAATTACAAGCTTCGTTGGTTAGCTACTTATCAGAACTTTGCAGGAAAACAAAACAAATGACTGAGGAAAACGAGCATTTCATTAACCTGTAACCCGAGCGCGGGGGGAGGGAACGGTGGGAGCGCGCGCCGCGGCGTCTGCAGGAAGCGCGGGGATCGCCCGCCCGCGCCGCCGCCCGGGACTCAGGCCCGGGAGGGAAGGACGGAAGGGCCTGCGCTGGGGGACGCGGGGCTGCCGCGGCTCCCCCTCCCGTGGGGGCGCGCGCACCGTGGGGCTGGGCGAGGAGGGAGCAGGAAGGGGGCCTGGTGGCTCGGGACTCGTGTGCAGTGCGCCGCACAGTCCCCGAGCCAGGCGGGCCGCAGGCCCTGGGCACACGTCGGGCGGCGGCTCCCGCGGCGTGTCCGGCTCTTGCACGCCGAGTGTGTGCGACAGACACCTTCTCCGAACCCTCCGTGCGCCCCGGGCCGCGTTAAAAGAGCGCCCGCAGCTAGTCTGCAAAACGCTTTGTGCGCCCGGCACGTTGGAGGAAGGGGGGATGATGGGGAAGCTTCTGCGTGCCGCGCGCACGCTTTTCCTAAACCAACTTCCATGCACCTGCTTTTCTTCTTGTGCACGTGTGTCACTCTGACCTAATCTCTTGGTTTCAAAATCACTGGAAAATGTTCGGCCGCCGGTGGACCCCGAGTTCAGTCTGGAGTGGGGCTCCACTGGCCCTGTGGAGCTGGGAGACCAGCGCCACGTTGGGGTTCGGGTGCCTGGGGCCCCGAGTCCCGACGTGGGATGCAGATCGCCCTGCCAGGCCAGGACTGTTCCCTACTAGGGTAGGCGGGAGGCCGCTTCTGCAGGGGCCTGGGGCGCGGGGAGGGATCTAATTATTCTCGGGTCCGCGTCTGGGTCTGGGGGTTCTCCGTCTGGGCTGTGGGCGCCCCCGCGCCGGCTTGACTGGTTCCCTGAGAACAGCCTTGCCCTTCCCCGGCCTCTTCCCCGCCGCCCGCAGTCCGACGCAGCCAGGTCGATAGCCGGTTACTGCGGAAGGAGCATCTCCGAGGCTCATTATTGTTTTCTCTTTTCCTTCTGAAAGAGCTGAATTAAACCCCACAGTACCCCACCTCGGAATCTCGCTCTTGTCTCCTCACTGGTCCGGTGCCCTCACTTGTGCAAACACTAGGGCTTCAGGGCCGTCGAGGCTCGAGGTCTGACACCTAGATAACATCCCTGGAAAGGCGTTACTCTCAACCCTGTGACCCCAAGACGTTTCGCGTGGAGGTGAGCCCACGATCCCCTAAGACACTCTCAGAGAAGTTTAACTGGAAACGAAATCAGGCGACTGGGAGGCATTTCCAGGCCAGGGCGGCCCCTGGTGTCTCCTCCTCTGGCCAGCCTCCCGAGAAGGCTCCAGGCAACCTGGCACCGGGCAAAGGGGACCGGGGAGGGGATCGGGAAGCAGCTGGGACCCAATTTGGGAATAACCCACTTTCCCTCGTTGCTCCCCCAAACCTGGTCATCCCCAAATTTTCCCTTGTCTCTTCCCCCAAGTTTCTCGGCGTCTACACCTACTAGAGCTGCGGACCTGTGCCAAGACCCCTACCATAGAGAGGTGGGGGGGAGGTGACAGGTGGGGGTGGGGTCGAACCTGGGAGTCCAGGAGGTAGAAACCTCTTTCGTTCTGGACCTGGGTTCCGCAGAGCTGCTGTGACCACACAGCCAGGGCCAAGACCCTCTGATGCCTCCACTGGTGGAATTCGGATTCGATTCCCCCATCGGTCAGTGCCAGGCTGGGGCTGGTGACTCCACGGCAGGCAGAGTCGCCACCCCCGTCTGGTCCCCGGGAGCGCCCGCCGCAGGCCTGGCCCACGCGTGGGTCGCCGCCGCGGCCTAGGCGCTGCGCCCCCCAGGGCAGCCCTCGGCCGCACGCCCTAATCCGAGAAGGTGGGCGCCGGATCCCGGGATTTCAAGTTCGATTTAGGAAGTATCCCACCGTAAAGCCTTGCCTCCGGTCCCCACCCGAGGCGGTGGGAGGATCCCTGCACGAAGGAAAGGGGCTGGGCTCGAGGACCGGGAGAAGGACTAGGGGTCGTGAAAGGAAGAATCTCTGCAGACCCAAGCGCCAATATAGAAACTTCTCGAACTCCAAAAGTTCCTGGGACCTCCGCGGTCTGGCTCCCTGCTCCTCCCCGCGGGCTGCGCTTGCTCCAGGCGGCCCCCCCAGACCCCCCGAGGTGTCCACCCTCCAGCCCCCAGGCCCAGGCGCCATTTTTACTGAGGGACTCGCACACGGACACTGGGGCGGCATTGATGTGGCCAATTTCAGGGTTCGGTCCTCCTGGGTAGGGGGCCGCCTCGCCCCCCCAGGGCAGTGAGGTAGCTTTGAAGACGCGGTGAGGACGCATTCCCCCACCACCCACACCCACCCCGCCTGCGCGCGTTCTCCTGGCTCCCGCCCTGCGCCACCGAAGGGGCCGGGGTGGCGAGGTGCGCGCTGGAAGAGGGGCCCGGGCAGAGGACAGCCCGGAGCCCGCCTAGGCCCAGAGTCCCGGCCCGGCCCAGGTCTGAGCTGCGGCGCGGGGACGGGCGCGGAGGGCGGCAGGCGGGAGGGGCCGGCTGACCCTGCACTAACCCGCGGCCCCGCGCCTCTCGCCCCCCTCCCGGCGCAGGCAGGAGGGGCGGGAAGGGACTGGCCGCGCCCGCTCCCGCCCGGCCCCGCCCCGCCCTGCGCGCGGTATCCGCGGGGGTGGGCGGCCTCGCCGAGAGGCGTCCCGGCGATTGGCGACTCGGGGAGGAGACTCGAGGAAAAGTCGAATAAGAGGGCGCGACGTCAGACCCGAGATTTGGGGAAGGGCGAGGGAAGGGGTGGAAGGGCGGGGACGGACACACAGACACAGGCTCGGACACACACACCCCCGCGCGGTACCCTAAGTGTCCACAACTTTAGGCTGCCTTGGCCCGGGGCGCAGAGGCTGGAAGGTTGGTGGGGGTGGGGGGCGCATCGTGTGAGCCGAGGGAGAGATGTAAAGAATCCAAGTAGCGAGAGAAGAAAAAGTGAAGGGATCAGACAGGGCGGAGAAGCAGTAGTGAGAACGGGAGAGAGGACGGAGGAAAAGCGAGTTTCCTGGCGTCCAGGACAGTGCCAGAGCCGAGGGAGCGGAAGCGATCCTGGGGGGAAGCGGCGCGGGGAGGGGAGGGGAGAGGAAGGGCAAGGAGGGGGAGTGAAAACTAGAGGAGGGCGAGGGAAGCGAGGCGCGACACTGCTCCGGGAGAGGAGGGCAGTGAGGAGCGAGGCGCGGGCAGAGGCGGCTCGGGCTGCGGAGAGGAGGGAGCGCGGCGCAGAGAGGAGGGGCTTGCGGCCCCGTAGAAATGTCAATCAGAGCCCGGAGCCCCGGGAATCTCCGCCAATCTGTTCGGACCTGACCTGGCTCCTCGCCGCCGCCGCCGCCGCCGCCGCCGCCGCGGAGCAGATCAATAGGCGAACCCGGAGCGCAGCGCGGCGCGGGAGGCAGCGCGGCCCCAGCCCGGCCCAGCCCCCGATGCGCGCCGGAGCCCGCGGGCGGCGCTGAGCTGGGCGGCCCCGGGGGCCGGGCCCCTCTCTGTCCGTGCCCCACGGGCCACCATGTCCTTCCCCCAGCTTGGATACCAGTACATCCGCCCGCTCTACCCGCCCGAGCGCCCGGGGGCCGCCGCCAGCGGCAGCAGCGCGGGGTCCCGGGGCGGCCCGGGCGCCGGAGCTTCGGAGCTGGCCGCCTCGGGGTCCCTGTCCAACGTGCTCTCCTCCGTGTACGGGGCGCCCTATGCCGCGGCTGCAGCGGCGGCCGCCGCCGCCCAAGGCTACGGCGCCTTCCTGCCCTACGCCGCGGAGCTGCCCATCTTCCCGCAGCTGGTAAGCGCCCAGGAGCCGGGAAGGGTGGGGGCGGTGGAGCTGGGGCGCCGGGGAGGTGGGCGCGCGGGAGTGGACTACGGGGTCCAGGCCGGGGTGGTGGAGGCAGCGATGGCTGGGGCTCACCCGCGCTCCCTTGCGTGTCTTCCTTCTCATGTGAGTGCAGGGCGCGCAGTATGAGCTGAAGGACAGCCCCGGGGTGCAGCATCCGGCCGCCGCCGCCGCGTTTCCGCACCCGCACCCCGCCTTCTACCCCTATGGCCAGTACCAGTTCGGGGACCCGTCCCGTCCCAAGAACGCCACCCGGGAGAGCACCAGCACGCTCAAGGCCTGGCTCAACGAGCACCGCAAGAACCCCTACCCCACCAAGGGCGAGAAGATCATGCTGGCCATCATCACCAAGATGACCCTCACGCAGGTGTCCACCTGGTTCGCCAACGCGCGCCGGCGCCTCAAGAAGGAGAACAAGATGACGTGGGCGCCTCGCAGCCGCACCGATGAGGAGGGCAACGCTTACGGGAGCGAGCGCGAGGAAGAAGATGAAGAGGAGGACGAGGAGGACGGCAAACGCGAGCTGGAGCTGGAGGAGGAGGAGCTCGTGGGCGAGGAGGAGGACACGGGGGGCGAGGGCCTGGCGGACGACGACGAGGACGAGGAGATCGATTTGGAGAACTTAGACGGCGCGGCCGCCGGGCCTGAGCTGTCCCTGGCTGGGACGGTGCGTAGGGATGGCGACCTCGGCCTGGGACCGATTTCGGACTCCAAAAACAGCGATTCAGAAGACAGCTCGGAGGGCTTGGAGGACCGACCACTGCCGGTCTTGAGCCTGGCCCCAGCGCCACCACCGGCGGCCCCAGCTGTGCCATCTCCGCCCTCGCCCCCCGCAGGCCTGGACCCTTGCGCCCCCGCACCAGCGCCCGCCTCCGCCCTGCAAAAGCCCAAGATCTGGTCCCTGGCCGAGACGGCCACGAGCCCGGACAACCCGCGCCGCTCCCCTCCCGGCGCGGGGGGTTCCCCCCCAGGGGCCGCCGTGGCGCCCCCAGCCCTGCAGCTCTCTCCGGCCGCTGCCGCCGCCGCGGCCCACAGACTGGTCTCGGCGCCGCTGAGCAAGTTCCCCGCTTGGACCAACCGGCCGTTCCCAGGCCCGCCGCCCGGCCCACGCCCGCACCCGCTCTCGCTGCTGGGTTCGGCCCCGCCGCACCTGCTGGGACTTCCCGGAGCCGCCGGCCACCCGGCTGCCGCCGCCGCTGCCGCCGCCTTCGCTCGGCCCGCGGAGCCCGAGGGAGGAACAGGTGACTGCTGAGCGCGGGGCGTGGAGGGAGGGGGCGGCTCCGGGGGTCGCGCCGAGGCCGGCGAGGAGGGGCAGGGCCCGGGCACAGGGCGCGAACCTCTCCGGTAGGCCCCCTCGGCCTGGGCGCTCTAAAGGCCCTCCTCTTTCTTCCCCCGCTTCCCTTAGATCGCTGTAGTGCCTTGGAAGTGGAGAAAAAGTTACTCAAGACAGCTTTCCAGCCCGTGCCCAGGCGGTAAGAGACCCCGAGGTTAGGGGGATGGGGGACCGGCAGGCGGGGGGAAGAAAGGAAGCCGGGCGGAACTCACGGCCTCTTGCCCAAGGGGAGCGCAGCTGGGACACGTTTTTTTAAAAAAAGGGAATGAAGCTCTTTCTTCCGTTGCCCCAGTGGGCCTAGAGACAGCTCGCCAGTCCCAGCACAGGCACCCCCAGCGCGGCCCGCGGGTGCAGCGCTAAGGGTGACCGAGCCTGGCCCAGCTCACAGGCCGGGGGACCCGGCGGCAGCTCTGTGACCCCACCGCCTTGCAGCGGGGGACTCAGGGCCTCCTGCCCTCCTTACAGTTAAACCTTAAGCGCCAACACAGGTCTCCAGCTGGACGTAATTTTGCATTGCGACACCTCCCCGCCCCCCCCCAGCCCCAGCCCCAGGTAGGGTCACCCCGCCGTAGGCAGCGCCTGCGCCCCCAAATCTCGCCCCCAGCTCTCACCTGCTTTAAACCACTGCCTCTCTCTTCCAGGCCCCAGAACCACCTGGACGCCGCCCTGGTCCTATCGGCTCTCTCTTCATCCTAGTTCTTAAAAAATAAATTTTTTAATCGTTGTAATAATTGTAAAAAAAAAAAAAAGATCGCTCTGTATAGTTAACGACTTGTAAGCATGCCCATGTATAAATACCTGAAAACAAAACTAAACAAAAGAGAAAAAAGAAATAAAACCAGTCCTCCTCAGCCCTCCCCAAGTCGCTTCTGTGCCACCCGCATTAGCTGCGTTTGTGAGGTTTGTGAGGTTGGTTCGTTTGATTTGGGGGGTGGAGTTTCAGCGAGAATCAGCGTGTCTGACTTTTTTGTATATACAGAAGAATGTACATATGTGTGAACCAAATTGTACAAGAAAGTATCTATTTTTGGCTAAATAAATGAGCTGTTGCCACTTTGACTATAACCTGGCTGTCTGCCCCTAGACGGCTCTGTTCGGTGGTTTTTTGTTTTTTGTCTCTCCCCCCCTTCCCACCACCACCCCACCTCGCTGGATGGAAGGATCTCCCGAATCCGCGGGGAAGGACGGCGCAGCGACAGGACAGCAGCGGCCGAGGCGGGGCTGGGGCGCCCCGGGATTGAGGCGGCGGGAGAAGTACCTGGGGCGCCCCAAGGAAGGGCAGAGGAGACAGGTGGGAGAAGGGACAAGATTCCTTACTAGAAGCTGGGAAACTAGGCCCAAACCTCCGGTCTAGCGAGAAACCGCGGGGTCTTGACAGCAAAGAGACTTAAATAAGAGCCTGGCTGCAGAGGGGTTGGGTTGGGAGTTTCTCGTCCCCATTCTTTGAGAGGCACAGTTGAGGTTTGCTGAGTCTTACACACAAGGGGCTGTGCACGCCCAGGTTCCGTCCCCCTTCCAACCACATTGCACCCCCTTCCTCCTTTTAGACGCCAGGGTGCGGGGTGATGGTGGGGAGATACGGACAAGAGGGGGGCCCAGGGGCGCACATTCTTCCCTGTAAGTGGACTGTGGCACTGCCCGGCCCGGATGAGAGTGGGGAGCCCGGGTCCTGGCCGCATCTATGCGTCTTGGCACCCTAGTGGGTTTTCCCACGCGCCCTGGCAGAGGCCGGGTTCTGAGCCGGGCGCGGGGCTTGGGCGGGGGCGGGGCGGCGCCTTCCCAGCGGCGGATTCCAGCACCCGCGGCCTGGGGTGGGCAGGCGGGGGAGGGAGCCGGGAAGTTTGGGGCTGGAGCTCCCTCTACAGGACAAAAGGGACGCTCGGCGCCTCGCCTCGGTGGCCTCTGCAGCTAGGCCGGGCGTCGCGCCCCCTTTGCGCCCTCTTTCTCCTCTCTCAGTCCGCCAGCCCATCTTGCCCAGCTGTGACTTGAAGAAGTTGCAGGGAAATGCTTGGGAGAGTGGCACCCCTCGGGTACGGGCACGGAGCGGAGGGAGCACCTTTCACAGCCCCCCGCCCCCCGCCCCCGTTAGGACGCGGACAGCGGCAGATGCGGGTGTTTGACCGGGCGCCAGCGGCGAGTGACAGTCTCGCGGGCTCCAGGGGAGGTTTGCGAAGAGCTCGCACGCCCAAAGCCGGGGAACAAGACGCGGCCACAGTGCGCCTTCCAGGCTCCAGGCTCGGCGGGAGCAGCGTGCGGCAGTGACTGGTCCCTGCGGGCCCCGCCGCCAGCGCCGCGCCGGGACCCCTCCGAGGCCGGCGGGCCATCGGGGTGCGCCGCCCCCAGGGGCGAGTGCGGGCCGGGCAGGTGCCGGCCTGCGTGGCAGTCTGGGGCGCGCACGGGGCTCACCGAGCAACACCCAGCAAGGACGCTTCGCAGCTGGGGCTGCACCTCCAGCCCCTTCCCCGGCGGGGCTGAGAGGCGTCTCCTGGGCTCCCTCCCGTTCCCGCTCTCTATCCCCTGCGTTTCTGGGGTTCGGGCCCTTTCGCAGGTAACAAGCACAGACTGAGGTTCAGCTCTGGTCCTGCTCTCCGAGATGTGGAGCCCGCTCAGCCCCGCGGTGGTAGGACTTCAGCTGCTTAGCCGAGGCCTTGAACTTGAGCCCAGAGCAGAGGCTGGGTAGCACAATGAATATCTTTACAAGGCCAACACCAGGACACCCCCCCCCTCCTGCTTCACAGGCTTAACTGTGACGGTATTTACCGCCTGTGACACCCTGAGCAGACAATTAACTTCTGCGTGCCCTTATTGTCTCATCTGCAAAATGGGGATAAGGAACTGTAGACACCATGGTTGTGAGGATGAGACAAAGCGTGTTCAGTGCTGCCTAGCTGGTGGTGAGGGGGACAGGCTGGGCATAAACAACCCTGCTCCTGACATCATATTCCAGAATCTCAGCCCCACCCATCAAACTCCCAGCAAGAGTGCCCCGCCCCCTCCATCAGCCATAAAAGTCAGTTGTCTGCCTTCAGGACCCCCAGGATCCTCTGCGACCCCAGCTCCACCCAGGGAGAAAGGAAACTTTCAGGTGGGCACAGCGGGGAGAGGGGGTTGTGACCATGGGCAGAAGTGAGGCAGCCTCTCCAAACTGACCCCACCCAGGGAGGAGGCAGTGGATTTGCTCAGAGCACCCTGAGCTCCAGAGGCCAGGCGGGTCTTGGAGAAACCTGAGCGCGGGTCCCTGGGTCTTTCTCCAGTAAAGACCCTGGCACTGGGTCAACTTTTCAGCCAGTCACGTTTTGGGGATAATGGTCCTTGGATGAGACCCGTTCTGCCCACGCTGTAGGTACTAGGGGACAGATGGCATAAACCTGGGAGCCACTCTCATAGGACACTTCTCTCATCCCATAGAGTAGACGGGCCCTTCAAGTGGCCCCAGGTTGACCCCAGTAAGATAACCAAACAGAACAAAAAGAATCACACAGCTTTTCAGCTATAAAAGAGGAGAGGAGACAGCCCTCTTTGCAGTTCTTTCATTTCACCAGGGAGCAAGTTCTCATGTCCTTGCCTCCTTGCAGGACCTGCTCCTCTCAGGGACCCCAGGAACTGCCCCCTCCCTTATTGTTGGTCCCTAAAATCTGAAAAAAAAAACCAGGAGGGAGGGAGAGAGAGAGAATATGGGAATCTCACCCCTGGTCCTGATTAAGCTTCAATTAGAAATAAAATATGTCAATCACTCCACCTGGAAGGGGCTCCTGCTGTCGGGGCTGGTTATGCAAAGCGCTCCAAGGTGTGTGGGGTAATCAGTTAGGTCAGAGGAAGGGGAGTGTGGCACTGCTTCCCTCATTATCGGCATGGAGCTGCAGGGCGGAGGGTGCGTCCTGGGGCCAGGGAACCAGAGGAGAATAAAATTATCTCCCTAAGTGACTGTCCACCTCTGGGACTGGCACAGTAATAGTTTCCAATTGAATTTCTCTGCAGGGGAATACAGGGAGAAGGAGGTGGGCTCCAGCCAGAAGGCAACATGGAAGAGCCAGAGGGTTAGTGCAGTAGGAGCCACTCACCTGTGACAGGTGAGGAGTGAGGAGGGGACAGGGCCTGCCTGATGGGCAGCCAGCACTGACGGTTCCACTGTCTTAGACCTGCCTGAGTTTTGGAGGGGGATCCAGAGGGATTGACGCTTGAGTAGGAATTGCCTAGCAGACGTTTTCTGTTTTTCTGTTATTGGGAGTTTCTACCAGGGACTTGTTTTGGGCCTAATTATCTGCATCCTTCTAGAAATGTCCTCTGCAATCCTAAAATTTCTGGTTGCCTGTACCCTTCACCCCCAGCAAGTGAAAATGGGCAATTGTGAGGTGTAAAAACTGTGTCTGTGGTTAGCTGACACCAACTGGAGTGGGGGCAAGTCTCAGACACTCCCTAGGCCCGTTTTTGACATCTGAAAAATGGGGAGGGTTGGAGTAGATGAACTTACCCAAGAGTTCTTACAAATCCAATGTTGTCTAGGATTACGCATAAAGGAAAGAAAGAACTATGAGTCCAAAGATAATTATGGGGGTCCCAGAACCTCTCCCCAGAACCTCTCTGGATACTGCCTCCTGGTCCTAATTGGCTGCTGTCATTGGATCCCATTAGCCAACTCGACTGCTTTAAAAATGTCCGTCTATTGTGCAACCAGCCCAGCTTTAAGTGGCTGCAGCTCCACTCTGAAGAGGTTTCAACCCCTCCAAAGGCCATCCCAGTTGTCCGGATGGAAAAACACCACACAGGCCCCTCTTCCTGAGCTGGCGGCATGGCTGAAGGAAGTCTTAAGAGCAGTGGCCCCCAACCAGGCCATTTTGTCTTCCCTGCACCCCACCCCTCGCCTCCGAGACATTTGACAATGTCTGCAGGCCTTTCTGATTGTCACGAGCAGAGCAAGGTACTCCTGGCATCTCGTGGGTAGAGGTCAGGGATGCTCCCAATGGTCCTGCGAGGCACAGAACCATCCAGTCCATAACGTCACTAGCACTGAGGTTGAGAAACCATGGTGTTAAGATGGGAGAGGCGTCTGAGGCAGCCACAGCAAGAATTTTCTCCCAGAAACCACAGCCCTGTTGACAGAAACATTAAAACAGGGTGCTAAGTGGAGCATCTTTGTTCCTTAAAAACTTTTGGCCCTGGAAGGGGGAAGTCGGGGTGAGAGAGCAAACAGGAAACTATCCACTCGTGGGGAAAAGAAAGACAGAGCTGCAGCTCAGCCTGCTGCCCAGGCCAGGAGCTGCTGGAGGTGGAACCTTCTGGGGTAAGAGGGAGGGAGGCAACCCAAAAGAGCATGTGTGTCTGGGGCGTCGGGGCCTCTCTCCCTTGGATCCTTCTGTCAGCAGCAGGTGACAGCAGGTGACACGGAGGTCCTCACAGATGAGAGCCTGCCTTGTCATGACGGGCACCCCTCGTGTACGGAAACGAATCTGTTTAATTTCTTGCTTGTTTTACCCGTGTGTGTGCAAGTGTGCGTGCGTGTGTGTGTGCACGCATGTGTGTGCATGCGTGTGTGTGCCTGTCCCGTGTCAGGGAGCAGGGGACACAAAGGCAGGGTAAGTTCTTACTCTGGGACCCGGCCGGCCAGGACGGGAAGGCTGTGATTTCATGGCTTTTGTGCCGGGTGGCGAGCCCTGCATTCTCTCCCTGCACCAGGCCGCGGCCAAGCGGGCCTGCAGCACTCCGGGCCTTTGGGGTGCACTCATCTGAGAGATTGTGCTTTTCTCAGCCGCTCAGATTTATTTTGCCTAAGTTACAGGGCAATTATGGAAATGCGCCCTTTGAAGCTGAGCTGATTTCTCTTTATTTTCTTCTCCCTGACAAAGCAGAGCTTCCCTGCCTCTCGTAGGCCTCTCTCTCTCTCTCTCTCTCTCTCTCTCTCTTCCTTTCTCTCTCATTTTCCCATTCTCCTCTCTGTCTCTTTTTCCTGATCATTATTAGCTAGCAGGACTTTGCAGGGATAATGTGAAAAAAATCGTCTAAATGGTGATAAAAAAAAAAGTGTGTGCAGATGAAAATAATGTCACTTTTATTTTAACGTTATGTTT